TGGCCAGAAGGCGACAACGGCGTACGAGCGCTGTGGCCATCGCTGTCCTCGTCAGCAATGTGAGTCACCAGACCCAAATCCCCGACTTTTAAGACATCCTCTTGATGAAGACTGAAGAAAATGTTCGACGGCTGGAATAAAAGAGAACAATCAGGCTTTAATTCTCTAACTTCTGAAATTCAGTAGAAATAATATGACAAAAATTTCAATGCAGCGATCTTATTTGGGAGAATAATAACATGTTCTCTCGAATACCTGAGCAATGGAACGTCATAATAACAGTATGACTCAATAAAGAGAAAGCTATCATTTTTCAAAGAGCTGGAGAATTAGAAAAAGTACCTAATAATGCTTCACACTAATAACAAGTAGCGCATACGTTATTACTGCAGGCGACCTCACCTTGAGATCTCTGTGCATCATCTGTTTGTCATGCACGTGTTCCACAGCATTTACGATATCGAGGAAAAATTTAAGGACCTTTGTCTTAGGTCTTTCCGTGTTCTGCATCAGCCAGTCTTTGAGTGTCTTGGGGTCACACAACTCCATCTGAATATACAGGTAATCTTGGGGCCCTCTCGAGTTCTTACGAGACCTTTTGGCGTAGCGTGCTTGGGACAAGCTTGGTAAACTGTCGGAAAGGTTGAGTGTTTCGGGTCGGGCTAGGGCATTGTTTTCATCCTCTTCCCCTGCAATATTGAGAACAATTAGATTGGATAATGCTTCAAAAAGAATTTGTCGCACATAAATTTATTGAGTGTTGATGTAGCCTGCGATAGGATTTATTTGTGCATTGATTTACGCAACAGACAAATTTGACAAGCAAGGCTATAACTTCACCTCAAAATGAATGGGTCACAATGAGTAATCTTAGAGTGTAATCACTGTTATGAACGAGACTACATAAGATCAGGCTACAAGGGAGAAAAAGAGTTGAGGTTTTCAAGTGAATTTATAGAGTTTGAGTTATTCGGCAGTAAAATTAACAAATTGGAGTGGACATGTAACTGGGCATCTCAGTACATTCGAATTATATTACATCCATCACCAAGTCCAAGTGAAAATTTTAAGAAGCGCATGTTAAGTTGAATAATCTAGTCAAAAGACAGTTTCAAGATAACATAAATTTTTCTTTTCATTTTTATTATAATTCAAATTACAAATGTTGAGGTCAACCCAAATTTTGTATAGCAAATAAAAAAAATTTTTGTTCAGTTATATGAAAAATTTGTTCAGTTCAGGGATCATTATAAAATAAATTAAATGTACACACCAATATTTGAAGCGCGACGCCCATTTTCCTTAATTTCGCTGAAGTCAGGCCGTGTGGAATCTTTAAACAGAATCGAGTCGCTCTGACTTCCAGCTGAAGTCAAACCATTATTTTCAGCGGCCACATCTTCACATGAAGCCGCGCTGCTACCGCTGCTTGATGAATCATTGTCCATCTTTTCTGAGTTATAATTAAAATCCTCATCAAGTTGCGAATCGTCCTTAGATTGAATAAATGATGACTCCTGATTAAAAGTAAAACTATGAGAATTTCCACCGCTGTCATTGGACTCAGAGACGTGATTGTGGAAGGATCCATCTTCTTCGAGCTCAGGCTTGGATGAGTCTGCAAATATAATTCCTGAAGACCCCTCATCGAAATCAACTGTGAAAGAAGACTCGTTGCCAATTTTGGAAGACTGATTTTTAGAGTCTTTTGAATGAGGCACATTGAAACGCCCCCTGGCGAGGGGATTTCCAGACACAACATCGTCAGATGGAGATGCAACAGGTGCCGAGGGCTGGTCCCCTGACATGAGGTTAGTGTCGGTAGGACTTTTTGTATAGACTTCAGGGGACTGGTATGATGAAAGGAATTCTTTCTTGTCCATCCTACAAATAAAAAAATATCAATCGTTAAATTCAACATCTTTCTACATTAATAAAATTTAGGTATAGACTTCAAACCTGCATGACTGCAAAAGAAATAAAAATGAATAGCATAAATACTGGGTCATTCAACACCAACACGAATATTCATTGTTATTTCAATAATAAAATAAAGAAAAACCTAATTTACTTTTGTTTCCATTGCAAGTCGAAATTCTCGATGTATTCAGGAGAGTGAGTCTCTGTCCAGCAGCCGTTGTAGCGAACGATGTTGTTGTGGTTTAGTTTGGCTAGCACCCGAACCTCACGCAGCACGCGCTCTTTGTTGCGTTCTCTGCACAAAAATAGTATGTTACATTACTCACTTGGCGACTCGAAAACTTCAAGTTTGCCCATTAGTTGCTCATAGGCAGCGGCAGAAAGTAAATTGTCCGTTTTATGACTTCGTTCCGCATGCAATATTTAGCAAATGAATTGCCTCAAGGGAGGCAATTACAGTTATAGAATATACAAATAAAAAAATTCAATGTTCAGTTACCCTCAAAGATTACACAAGAAGAAACTGTTCATATGAACTCACTTGTTGGGCAAAGGAATCCTCTTGACTGCGTATTCGTTGTCATCAAGTGAAACATAAGCTTTGAAGACGACACCAAAGCCACCCCAGCCTAGGACAGACCTGATTTCAAAATCATCTATTCGAGAACGAGGAGAGAGTGAAGCATCGCCTCTGTTAGATTCGGTAGATGAAACGCTCTGCTGCGGGAGGTACGTGGGCGGGGTTACGCCTGGTGTGTTTGATGGACCTTTAGGCGTGCCATCGTTGGGAGGAGGTAATACTATTGACAAGGGAGGGGAAGCATTACCTCCTTGCCCACAAATATTCTCTGGAGTGCGTGGACTTTCTTCGATGGCACGCGAGTCGCTGTTGATTACAGGGCTAGCGTTTGTCGCAGAATTGAGAGGAGGGAAATATTTACTTAATCTGCCATCATTGGCAGTTGTCTGGTGGTCGGCTTGACTGTCAGCTACAGGACAGACTGAAGGCCACTGTTGGTGCCTAATAGTACGGTTGTATGGGAATAAAGCTCCAGAAGGCTCCGACGAAATTCCTTGTCCTGTTTGTGGCTGTGGCTGCCCAAAATTCTGTGAAGCTGCGACTTGGAATACATCTTCACTTGGAGCCGCCGTATAATTATAAGTCTGGGCAAGAGACGTGTAAGGTAGATTTGAAGCTTGAAGACCAGCCTGTGGTGCCTGCAACAAAAGGTATTATTAAGATATAGTGAATCAGTGCAACTTGTACCTAGTAAAACAATAACTCAATTTTTCTGCAAGTAATATTAGCTAATGAATCGTTACTGACAGGAAGCTCTAGGAAGAAGCAGCAGAAAGATACTTGCAAGCTTCATCTACAGCCGAGAAGCTATATATACAAGGCCCATATTCACAAATTTTCTCCGATATTGTTCGTACTAATATTTTAGGTTGACAAAGTTTGAATGGCTGAGTGAGAAAATCTTCCCCTAGTTCCAACGCAATTTCTACCACAAATATTGCTAGATCAGGTGATATATGATTCAAAAGCAGACAATGAATTTTACATCTTGCGTCCACGATCTCATTCAACCAGAGTATAATTCTAAAGGAGTAATGTGTGAACTAGCACAAGACACATACTGTCTCTTATACACATCTCTGTNTTTTGGTTCATTCAAGTATGAGCACTGAGTTCAATCAACTCTTTTACAAATTTTCTGCATAACTTTAAACTGTATGGTTGCAATATCAAAAGTAAATAGTGAGATGTTTTGTTGTTACAGTGTGACGGGGACATGAGTGCGCTGGTTAACCAGGTGGCTGTGGTTCAGAACAAAGTTGATCAGATCGCCAAGCTCGACAACAAAGTGGATTTGCTGATCTCTGCCGTTGCACAACTCAGACTTAAAATACAGAACCGTAAGATCCCATGCACGAACTTTATGTATAGAGTCGTACCAGCTTCATAGGTCCATGTTGGCCTGTCACTGATTCACAACCAGCCGACCACCGTGTCAATTGCTATCAGAATTTTTATTACTATTTGCGAGTTTCGAGCCCTCAACTCGCTGCTGCAATCTTAATGATTTTAACCACTCGACTACCCCGAATTTCGAAACTGTTCGTGCAGAAACTATTCAAGTGAAACTCTTTACGTTTCTTGATCAATTGATACGATGTTGTCACGCGTGTGAATCATCAGCATGTATGGGCATTCACTTTTCGAAGCTATTATCAGCTGTCATCTTGCAATCATTTTTACCATTGTTGTGATAGTGTACATACTCCTATATGAATATAGAATAAATAACATAACTTGGATATATCTAGTTAGCTAATTACAAGTCACTTCATGCCTAACAAAATGATTCCGTGTATTTGCAGAAGGCGGAGTCGGAGGGCCGCCCGGTGAGAAGGGCAACATGGGCCCGCCTGGCATCAAGGGGAACGTCGGACCACCAGGAATGCCGGGTGATTGTCCACAGTCTGTGTGCAACAGCGGGCCTCCTGGTCCCCCAGGACCCCGAGGGACCAATGGAGATCCTGGGCCCAAGGGCGAGTGTTGTTACGGGGTCCGTGGAGACCGAGGACCGATTGGAGCACGAGGAGGGAGCATGGCTGGAATACCTGGACCAAAGGGCGCTAAGGGGGACAATGGAGACCCAGGAGTTTGGTTGCCCAGAGATCCGTGCGCTGCTACACATGGGGGTTAAAAAGCTACACAGGAGGTATGAGCTGCTACATTTAGTGGATGAGCTGCTACATATGAGGGATGCCAAGCTATTTCCAAAGATGAGCTGCTACACATGGGGGATAAAAAGCTACATATGAGGGATGAGCTGCTACATATGAGGGGTAAAAGGCTACATATGAGGGATGAGCTGCTACATTTATGGATGCCAAGCTACATACGAAAGATGAGCTGCAACATATGAGGGATAAAAGGCTACGCAGGAGGGATGAGCTGCTACATATGAGGGATGCCAAGCTACATACAAAGGATGAGCTGCAACATATGAGGGATAAAAAGCTACGCAGGAGGGATGAGCTGCTACATATGAGGGATGCCAAGCTACATACAAAGGATGAGCTGCAACATATGAGGGATAAAAAGCTACGCAGGAGGGATGAGCTGCTACATATGAGGGATGCCAAGCTACATAGGAGGGATGAATGGTAATCATTCCCTTCATTGACGTCCATCGCGTTCCAATTTATTTGCCAATTTTCACCTCATAGTGTCACATGTAACAAATGAATTTGATTCAGAATTTCTATACAAACCATATTTCTAACCTTATAAAGGAAGCAACATAAGAAAATGCGCACCGCTATCGCCATCATAATCATTTTCTGTAATCTGTAATTTGTTGAGGTGCGCACGTCACCTTGCCCTGTACGTTGCTGTGAGCGGTCCATTCATTTATGAGAAAGCCATCCTAACCGTCTACCGCCGTATGCCACTCTCCGGGAACATAACTTTCAACTTAAATTATACGTAAACAATTGAGTTAGCAACCTGAGGACGTTTGTACGCAACAGAGAACATTTTAAAGTTATAGTACGTGGCGGCAACCATCAGTGTAAGTCATTTTGCACTCACTAGAACGTATCCTTTTTTTGGGAAGTAGGCGCGTGACCATATTGCTCCGGTTATCTCATGTCAGACGATAGAAGGTTAAAGTAATATAATAGCAACTTTCATCATTGTTTGTGTTAAGCGCCATAAAATATTAATTAATAACCTCATTTGTTTGATATTGTAAGGATAAATGTATAGGACGCGGCACGGAGATCACGCGGGTTAAGAAGTTCAGAATTCATAAAAGTGTAGTAAAGAAACAATTAAAACGTGTAGTTTGAGAATATACATT